GCCAGCTTTTCGGCGGATGGTGAAGGTGATCAGCTCGTGGTCGCTGTCACCCCGCTTCCCATCGATCACTAGGTCGCCGACTAGGTCATCCCCCGTAGCCAGTACCAGGTCGAGCAGCGCTTTGCCTCTCGTTGGCCCATAGACTTCTTGAGTCAGGTAGAGGTCATCCACGCACGAGAGGAAGCTCTGCGACCGCTCAGATTTTGCTGAGCGATCCTCCCACGAGATGTCCGGGTAATTGAAGTCACCCATGACAACCATGGTCCTGGAGCAAGCTGCCTCAGCCAGTTCCTGGGCAAACTCCTGGTCAAGCTCAGGACTTTGAGTCGGAGGTCTGTAATAGACTCCCACCATTGTGTCCCCTGTGCCGTGTTCCCCACGGATTTTAACCCAGAGGGTCTCCAGCCGTCCACCCTGGTCGCCAATATCGGCTTGCAGGGACGTGTAGCTTTCCTTAACATAGAGAGCTACCCCCCCGCCCCTTTTCTCTACACGATCCCTCCTGTACAGGGTATAGCCATCTATCCCCGTGGTCCAGTCATGGGTGGAGTCCCACCAGGTCTCCGTTATCCCTATGACATCGTAATTGTTTGCACTGAGCTTATTAGAATAAAATTATTCACTAACTACACTATATATCCCCCCTGTATTTACCTTTTATTCTGAAGAGATATACATTCAGGATCATGAAACTTAACACAACCACCAGGATCACGCTCAGGGCCACCATCCAGGGATTCACGCTTGGAAAAAAGAGAGCTGAAAAACAAGATGCCCAGGGCTTGCTTTAGTTTCTTATTGGTGAAAAAAAATCTAATGTATTTATTTCAAGGCCATCCATTAATAGTTCCTCTCAGGAGTTGACTGAGATATGAATGACAGCAGCAACTCAAGACAGGATGCAAAAAATCACAAATATGTACTGACCTGCGATCGTGATTTATCATGAATAAACAAGATATATGCTATCTCACCTTTACATGGCTAAGTGGAAATTATGTAGCCATGTAACTGCAATTTTTTGCAATTATGCAGTATTTGGATTCTTGTTCTATCTCTAATGGAAGAGGATGGATCTTTATGTGACCCTGCTAGAAACTAAATCCAGAAATACTTTAAATCCTCCTCCATGTTCTCCATCATGAAACAACTGCTAGCCGTAGGTTGGTTTTTTTCTGAGTAAAGCTTTGGGATCTATGTAGAATTATACACATGCTCCAGTATCTTCACAGCCATAGTACGGGGTATTGAGCATGCCCAGAAGGAAGGTCTAGGGCAAGCACTATTATGTATCTAAACAGTGCATAAAAGCTAAAAAAAAAAAATCACACTTACAGAACTATATGCTAAAGGGTCCTGCATTCAGAAAAGCCAGGGTCAGACCCTACTCAGGGGAGGGGAGGTGTGGGTTTGGACCTGAAGTGGGAAGGAGGGGCAAAGTGGGGTCAGACCTGAGCTATTTGCTAGTACCATTATAAGCACTTATAAGCATAGCCACATCTATGCTAGAGGCAAAGTGCACAATTGTTGTGTATATTGTACAGTTATTCAATCATAGGTCATCTTTACACATGGGTGTAGTGGGTGCAGGGGGTGGAGGGTGTTTAATTCGAGTGTCTCCCACGGTCTGAAGTACTCAGTGTTGTGTGCTTCAAAATGGTGGTGGTGGCAGTTTAACTAAAGCTTGTTGGGCGAGCATTAATTAAAGAGCCCTCACCACCATTTTGAAACTCGGGCACGCTGAATACACGTGACACGGAGGCTGCAGGAGCATCCTAATTAGAACATTCCAGCAGACTCGATTAATTGACTTGGCTCTGATGCACTCTAATTAGAAAGCAGAAGAGCAGTATCGGGTACGTGCACAGGTGCGCACAGAAAGGCTAATTAAACCCCCCCCACACACACACACACACACACTCCACAGCCGCCTGGAGCACATCTGTAAATGACCTGAGCACGTAGGGAAGGGCAGAATGATTCAGGAGCACAACTGCTACGGAAAAGGCCTTTTAAAAAAACACCTGCCCCACTTAACAACCCTTAAAAGAGGAGCGACAACTCACAACTTAGTTAATTTTACATGATAAATAATGAACAGTGTTGCAGTGCAGTGAAAAGCCTTTAAGAATTCACAAATAACTCAGTACTGGTAGATAAATGCTACCAAAATACCCATTACATACCCACTAAAAATACACTTAGGCAATCCTGAGAGCACAGAAACATCCTGCATTGTTATTTTGAGTGACTGTGTCTGCCAGTTTCTTTAAGATAAAATTTCAGAAGTTAGAGTGAGATAAAATCTGGATTCTGATAACTGCAAATACACAGTTCAATGGATCTCTATTATGACCCTGTGGAAATGCTAGCCATGTGTGTGTTTGCTTCATGTTTCACTTGGTTTCCAGCGGAGGCGGGTCACTGGAGGCCTTGGATGGAAACTGACCTGATATATAAATTGCTGATTCCTTCTCTCGGTCGAGGAGGCTGTTCCTGACCCAACAGGACAAGTTCTGGTTTGGATGTCTGTTTATGACAACAGAAATTTCTGTTTCAAACAGGCCATTTGCCTTTGGGGATTTTATTTCAGAAAGCGATGGTATATGATGCCCCTGGGCATTTCTCCACAGCACCTGGGGCTCTGGGTACCACTCAGCTGATCGACACGTCACGCGGATCCCTCCAGGCTGGTAATCCTCCACAGAGATGATAGGATTAGAGCCTACAGCTAAAAAAGAAAGAAATTATATTTCTTAAATCTATGAGTCAATTTTGCAAAGGACTGTGGAAATCTTATTCCTGCTTTCAAGAAGTTCTAGATATTGCAGAGCAGGGTAGAAATGCTATTAATGACTATAGAGCCTAGATATTCCTGGATGTGATAGCTGACAAATTTTGTCATCAAATAGTCATTAAGCCAATGAGAAATTATGGTAATTCAGATCTGATTTTGGTAGGTAATGAGGGCATTTATAAAAGACTGTAGGCTTCAGACATGTAGGCTGTAGGCTTCAAAGACTGAAACACCAGAATACAAAGTGCAGACTCTGGACCCAGCACAAGCCTGACTCATTAAGTTTGCATGCTAGCCATAAGCGAAGTGTAGCTAGTTGAAATCCTATTACATGACAGTGTGTTTTTATTGACTGAATACAGTAAGGCAGACATGAATAATCATTGGTTGCCAGTAAAGATAATTTTCTGCAGAGCTACAAAGTATGGCTATAAGAAAAGTCCTCAAAGCCTGTTTCTGAGTAACCACAGAATGAACCTTTGCAGACAAGACATCTAGCAAAGGAAAGAAAGCAAATGGCATGTCCAGCTGAAGCAGATCAGATTAAACAGATCACAGGGGCTTAAAGAAGGTAATCCAAATATATTATATTATCGCTTTATCTTATATTAATGATCAATGTAATTAAATTTATTGAATATTGTTTTATAATAGATATTTGTGTTCAAGTCTCTTAGATGTAAAAACAAAGCAGCCTCGTCAGTGAAAACTCTAAAGTAGGTGAAAGGAAGAGGATAAGAAATCCTCCCTTCCCAGAAGTGTACATTTTTTAGGAACATAAATCCCAACCAATTGACATCATCCAAGTGCACAACAGACTGGTTCAGTTCACCTTCAAAAGTTTCCATGAAACAATGACATTTGAACAAAGGCAATCAGAGAACAGTTAGTAGATTATTAGAAGAAGCCATGTTTAAAGATAGGTAAAGGCTGGAGGGAAAAGGGGAGGGGGTCGCCCCCCATGACTGAGTGGTGGTAATTAAGGGGATTGTAGGTGTATCTTAATTCCGTGTCTAAACTTGCAAAAGAGGTCCTGATCACAGGGTAGAGTCTTGTCTCTCTAGAGGCTGAATGGTTACAAGGTTTTGCTAAGAAGGGCTGGTTGTAGAAAATAATCCTGGGAACTGACTGACTACAGATTGACAGGGTTCAAATTAAATGGAAAAATAAGCAAATTAGGACTGTAACTCAGGTTTGGGACTGCAAAGGAGAAAGGTTTATCTTGGGAGAATAGCTGGGCTTTTTCAGTCTACCAAAACTGAGGCAGAAAGGGATGTGTTTGCTATCTGTAACTATATTGGGGAGTAAATATGATGAAGGAAAAAGCAGTATTTAGTAGGGCTGTGCGAAATGGCACCATTGTGTTTCACCTTCAGTTTCGACAGGTCGAGGGAACAGAGTTCCTTTTCGAATTTCATTTCAATTTGAAACAGCTGTTCTTGTCCGTTCCATCGAAATAGAAAGGCTATTTCGATGCTGTTTAGACGTGTCACTGGGGACAGGGAGTCAGCTGTTTCCACTTCAGAATGAGTTGAAACAGCATCAAAACAAAACAGCTGGTGAAATTTCGCACAGTCCTACTATTTAGGTTAACAGACAATCTGGGTTCCAGAAAAAATGGTTATAACTTGAACATGAATAAATTTAGGCTGGAAATTAGACGGTCCTAAGCAGTGAGAAATCAAGAGCAAAGAAAAACTAACTGCTTTCAAGATGTTGCTTCAAATTATTAAAATACTGACAAAAATTGAAATATGTTTCTGAAATGTGAAAACGGCTAGATAAAATTGAAATACAGTGACTAATTGTAAAGTAATTCATACACAGATTCCAAGAAGTTGGCATATTTCGAAAGAGAAAAAACCTGAAAACCATGCAGAGATGAACTGACACAAGCCACTGACCTGCTACCTTCAGTCCTATTACAGCTTCTTCATTAGTAATGCCATCTATGACAAAGCAGGTGTATTGCCCTTCATCTGAAGGCCTGATATTGAGAATCCTCAAGGAAACATTTCCATGTGTGAGGCCATCTTTCCAAAACGCTGTCCTTGTCCTGTATTCTGGCATCTGTCCTTCAAACTGATCTGTCCCATCGCGGTACAGATGAACATAATATGTGAACTCAGACCGGAACCACCTCACTTCCATGTTCTCAGCGCTCATGTTGGGGGACAGGCGGCATGGCAATACGATCTCTTCCCCCACAATGGCAGTGACTGGCTGATCAGGTCCAACAACTGTAAACTGGGCTGTAAAATGTACCAAAAACATCCCAAAATAAGCTCAGAAGTAAAAAGAGAAACCCAAGATACTCAACATCAAATGGATACCCACCTGGCAGAGTTTCAGCCTGGACTGGGAAAAGGACAAATAACTGAAAACACAGGCTTAAAACAGAAAGGGCTGAGCAACTCGAACTGCAACTGACTGCCCAAGCTAAGATATTCAGTGTCTGGGAACGGACAGAATATCCTGAATAAGTACAACATATGTATTTCCTAGTAATAGAAATGTCAACATTTTTCACTGGACATTTTCTGAACATTGTATCCCATAAAATGTGTTGGTGCCTTGATGTTTTAATCGCATTTTGGGATAAGATACAAATATGAAATCATTGAAATGTCATTTTAAAGAGAATTTTCCCCCTCAATATTGGTTTTGAAAAGCCAGTGGAGTGACGAGAAGGAGGATGTTAGGATACTGTGAGAGTGAGGAACATAGAAGCACACAGAACTATGGAAATATAATCGGGTGATAGATAAAGAGCTATTCTCCTCTATGGTTGGGGACAAGGAGGAAAACTTTTAATTTTAGATGTATTTATTGTTTCTTCCAACACAGTGATGTTAATACAACCTGGAACTTCTCACAGTTTCTTTTCCATTTTCCATAAAAGACTACAATTGGTGCAATGGGTTAATAAAAAACTAAATAAACCTTTCAGCAGCAGAAGAGGACACATTAATATGGAGCAGATATCTACAGATACCTACCTGATTCCACCTTGGAAATATGAAAAGTAATGAAGAATGTGAGAAAACCAGGCAGCGATGTGCAGACTCTGCAGATTTGGCACAATGAGGAACGCATCTTCTTCTAGGAAACTTGATTCAAAAGCACAAGGGGACGGCAGGAAAGAATTCACCTGGAGAACATCGAGCGCCGGTTACCACCTTTGTGTATTGGATTAAATAGCAGGAGGACAGCACATACAAGTATACAAGGGGAACAACCTTGGCTTGAATAAACTTATGAAAGTATAGACTTGAAGCAGGTTCTGAAACTGAAATTCCACAGAAATTCGGCAACTGAAACAGAAAGTCCAGGGGTATCCTTGATAACTCCCTCCCTCTTGTCCCCTAAATGAAAAATCATGTGCTGTGTCAGGTGATGATAAAGAGCTTTCATTACATTTTGGACCGTGTTAAATGAATGAGATCTAGAATCATAATACTGTGCAGTCTTAAAAAAAACCCATGGGGTCCAGATACAGTTACATGCCAATATAGCTGCTCAAAGCAACATGAGATTTGTCCTCTTCAAGATCTTCAGAGTATTGCATAGACGGCTGTGGCAAAAGAGGGGAGTGTTGATCCGTACTGCATAATGAGCTGTATGCTCTGCAGTGTGGAGATAGTCTTCTTCCCCTTTAGTTTGGGTGTTTTGTGGGGGATTTTTGTTCTTTTCTGAGGTTTTTGTTTTGTTTCATTTTAGCTATGATATCTGTAAAGTATTTTTAATGAAATTATTTGTGAATGTACAAGTAATTTAGTTTTTGCATCAATAATAAGAAAGTCAAAGGATTATCTAATCTCTGTATTATTACATAACCTAAAAATGGGGTGTTTTAGAGGGTATAAAGGGTCTCCTGAATGTTTCTCAAACAACCCAAGGTCACCTACCTGACTGATCCTGCTGAGCAGTGTCGTGCTGTGCTCTGCCTCCGAAACATGACTTCGGTTTTGTCAGGTTGGAAAAAGTTTTTCAGAATGTCAGATAGCAATTTCCACGTCTAATTCCTGCAGTAAAAGAGCCATAGGGTTTAATTGTAGCTTTTCTGTCCAGTTTTTAAGTTTCAAACTTCTGTATGCATTTTCATCTTGCAGAAGTTGTCACATCGGAAAGTGAAAGGAAGAGCAGGTTCCTGGGCAGGGCGCAGCCTGCTGCACATGCGCAGACAGGAGCACGTACGTGTCCAGGCTCCCAGGGAAACACCATTTCTACCTATGCAAAAGGACATTTTTGGCACTTTATGTGATTAAAGCCTGCTATTTACACTCACAAGGGGAAACAGAAAGTGTTGCGTGTGTGGTGGGGACTTTTAGATTCCCCCGAAAACAGTCTGGCCCTAAGAGGTTTTGAGTCCTTTGACCTTAGTAAAAAGCATTTCCTGCCACTAACTCTTAGTGAGCCAAAGAACTTGTCTGGAAAGGGGAAAGGGAACAGAAGTCCCAGGGAAA